TGGCTTGGCAGTCATGTGACTGAGTGGGTGTGGCCAACTTGCAACTCACTTAACAGCACTCTTGCTTAGCAACCAAAATGTTGGCTCAGAAACTCTGGCATTTGAAGCACGCAAGTCTTAAAGCTGTCAAGTTACCAGACCCTTGCACCCCTAACCCTTTAGAAAAACCCCACCAGGGGTGTTCAAATTTGACAGCTTTAAGACTTGTGGACTTCAACTCCCAGAATTCCTCCTCTCGCGCTTCATCTTGATGATGTGCGGATGGGCAGGGGGAGGGAGTTGGAACCGGTTCTAAATGGCACTGTAGATTTTTGGAACCTCTTCTATAGAAGAGGTTAGAACTGGCAGGAACCCACCCCTGATAGGGCCATAGCACACTGACTGCCCTTAATATGCCTTAAAGTGCTCCTCCTCCTCCTCCTCCTCCTTCCTCTTCTCTTCCTCTTCTGCAGTCCTGTAACCTAAGTCTACTTTTATAGTAAGCTAGTGGTCTTGCTTCGTTTAAATAGCATTCAATGATAAACTCTGAGAAGTCTTGACATTCGATAATAGCCTCAGAACCCTTAACATATAAGCCTTAGTTTATGTTGAAAGTGGGAAAAGAATAGCATTTTAACATGAACAAAGATAGCACAAATCCAATTTACTTTTGCATATTTTGTGCTTATAGTCCTATCTTTGATATTTAAAAAGGGCTTTCAGGGGATTTTTGTTTTACTTATTCAGCTTATGAACAGAATGGAAAATAAATAATCACTGGGTGGTTACCATAGTGGCAACAACAATAATAATAAAAAATGTAGACTTTGATGCAGGCAGTTCAAAGTTACTCAACACTATGAGAAGGAAACCCATTTATAACAAGTGAATTTACAACACCAGGCAAATGTGTGTGTGCTTTTTACTTTTATCCTTTGTAGAAGTGCAAAGATTTTTTTTATGTGCATTTTCCAAAAAGGTCAGATTTTCTTTGAGGGTGTAAAACCCAACATTTTCTTGGGGTTCGGTATGTTTATGTGTGTGTGTGCGCGTGTGCACGCATGTGTGTGTGAGAGAGTGAAAGAGAAATAGCACATCAATCTGAACATATCAATAAGCAGTCCATAGATCTATTTCTTCTCTTCCATGTAACCTTCTATGAAAACATTCTAGAGCACAGGTATCAAACTCGCCGCATCACGTTGCCATCACATGACATTTTGTGACATTTTTCCCCTTTGCAAAGCTGGGGTGGGCCTGGCCTGTGCATGACACATCCGGGCCACGGGCCGCCAGTTTGATACCCCTGCCTAGGGGGAATCTGCCTTTAGCTGGAAAACATTTTTATTTGAAAACTCTTTTTTTATATAACAAGTAGCTTCAACTTGTGATTTCTCAGTGTGGATAGAAAGTCAACTACTTCCTCACTAAGTCTACTGTTTGGAATGGAATGTTTGGAATGTTTATTATAATTTATAGGCCGCCCTTTTCCCTGAGGGGACTCAGGG